CTGCCAACATAATGCACAAGACTAATGGTTGCGAAGTGACAGAAACTATTCTTCAGACAGTACTGCTCGTAGCGAATGCAGTAGTCAAGAAGCTTGTGACAGAAGGAGGAGTAGGCGAAGCATTGTGCATGTTTTTGAACAGCAGGAGCGAAGTCTCGTATATTAGCGAAGCTCTAGCCAAAAGATTAAGTTTCATGGCAACAGACAATTCTAATGTTGTTTATTTAATGTTTTTTTATCTCTTCCAAAGTATGATTAACAGATTAAGTCCTTTTTTGTGATGCCTGATTTAGTTAATCTGATGTTATACGGTTGTTTGGCTGTGAAATTGCTGAAATCTGAAACAGAAAAGCATTAGCGCTAAACCTGATATTCCTCTGATAATGCTGGTAGTTGCTGCTGTAGTAAATATCTTAACGATTAATTAGTTGTTTTAGCTAAATTAAGTCTTTCACGTCTATATGAAATCATTGTTTAATAGAACCGGCTAAGTTTGTAAAGAATACTAAATTCAAAGCAGAAATAAAAGGAACAAAAAAAGTCATGCAAATTTTTATGGATAATATTTGTGAAATTCGGTACTGCTTAATCTTAATGTTTTTCAGAAATAATCTTCAAAAGCTTTTTTTTAAATTTTGCATTAGTCTATGCTTTCTGTTGCTGTTAATTAAATTTTAAGCGTCATTCAGAGTCTTTTTGGTTTTTTTTTTAGACATGATAGAAGTTTCATGCTTGAAAGTAATAAAGGAAAAAATAAAAAGAAAATTTTCACTTATAAGCTGCTAGCTAACTGAAAATCTACGAATAAAGCAAGCAGCAGAAAAACGTAGCAAGCCGTGGTTTTCCTGGCATTTCCCAACGTAAACTTACTGAATCTATTCTACTTAATCGTCAGTAATTTTACACACCAAACGTTGTATCATTCAAGAGCCTCCTTCAAATTGGTTAAACTTTTGGTTGTAGCTGTTCAATTGATCAGGTTGTATTTATTATTAATTTCATATTTTCTGTGCTTTTTTCTCTGATTTTTTTACTTTTTACTGTATTTATTGTCTTCTAATTTGTTTCATCTTTTTAATGCTTTAAAGCCATTAGCGTTAACGGTGTTTGTTGCTGTCATTATGTTTTTATCTTTAGTGGGAATAAAAAACACTTGGAACGCTATTCTACATAAGTTTACTGAAGGTTCATTTTTTTTTTGTGGCTAATAATAGTGTAATTATGTTTTTGAACAGTGAAATTGAAAAAAAAAAAGACAAATGAACGAGTAGAGGAATTTTATTTATTTTGCAAACTAAAATTTTACATAATTTTATGTTAATTCAATCTGTTTTACATTTTTCACCGTCTACTCAAATAGTTTTAATTTTAAAAACGAAATATTTTATAAACATTAGCTCTAATAGCAATTTTTTTGTAACACAGATCTGTAATTGTCTACTATCATACATATAACAAATTATGTGACAAAACGCTTTTGGAGTTTACAAAATGTTTTAAATTTATATCGATTTCTTGACAACGAAGAAAGAAAAAACTAGTAATGACAGATCAATGATCAGTTTTAATATTGTTTTCGTTTAAGAACTGTTCTAAGTGAACCAGTTGACTGGCAGATGATCAAAATTTCAACTTATCAAGCTATTTTGGTTACCATCTTGAAATTTCTGGGCAAAGCCTTGATTGACTGTTAGGCGTAGTTGATCTATTGTTAATCTAGTCTACAAAAATTTCTTATTTTTTTGTTCGATAAATTATTCTGTCTCAATTCTGAATATTTTATCAAAGTTTCAGATGTGTAACTGTTTTTTCCGCTGATAACTTTAAAAAGTTGTTGGTTGGTTAGGTTACGATTTGAAGGTGTCAACAGAGTCAGTATAAACTCATATTCAAATGTTTCGTTTGGTTTTTTGTTCTTTACTTTCTGTCACAAACATTAAAAACTTTTTGTATGTTATTTAACAGTCTTTGAGGTGCATATCATGATGTAAATGTTCTTTCAAAATTAAATGTGTATAAGAGTATTATTTTCATAAACGATAGAACCAGTATTTAGAGCGAGTTAAAGCTGTGTAGAAGATTTGCATAATGTTGGCTATTTGATGCTAATTAAGCTGCAAAACGTCTCTTACCATATAAGCATAATTTTTTTCAAAATTTTTGTTTCTATTCGTGTACAATTCCTTTGTTTCGCAGTCATATTGCAAGTTACTAAATAAAATAAGAGAAGAAATAAAAGCTACTCAACTGGTACTTTTTATGTTTGTAAAAAAATCTCTTTGGTTTGTCGACTCTTGTTTTGACCATATAATTTCGTCAGTTCACGAGGATAGCGACTCTCAAAACCAATTAGAAATATTAATTCAAAAATTTTTACAAATACACTGTAGTTTTGCTTTATTATGGAATGGAACGGTAAGGCAATGCCAGATTGTACCAATTGACATTAAGTAATTGCGTATCACAAGAATCCTAGCAATTACTCCTGTTACTAAACTTTCATTGTCACTATTTGCTTACAACAACTTTTTCCGAGAAATATATCAAGGTAATGAGCTCATTTGGTAAAATGACTTTTGTCTCTCGCCAACTCTTTCCTTCACCGCAGAGCAATTTTCAGTATCATTTGGCTGCATTTTACTCGTTTGGAACATCGATAAAATTACATTACTACAAAAACCAAAGAAAAAAAAATTGAATCTTACTAGTTGAATTTTATAAGTTGTTGTCATTTCGCTGACTAATAAACTGGCGCACCGAAGCTGTTTCGATGCACCAAACACCAATTCTTAGTGAAAATCAAGGTGCTGTCACATAGCAGATTATTCCTTTTGGTTTCGCCAACGCCCAATGTTTCTATTATGTCAGATAGGGACTGACATTCCATGCACTACAAATCATATACGAGACCCAGCGATGTCATGATCTATCATCATCTAAATATGTGGTTTTATCTTCCAGTTCATATAACCTTTCCAAGCATCTAGTTGCTATTACGTGGTCTGAAAAAAGCGGTTCACCTGGTAATTCCAGCAATTTTTTAACTTTCAATACTTTTACAAATGAAGGTTGATGCCCATCAAATGAGTTCTCTAACTGGGTATGCGTCACGCAGAGAACTTATTTGGTTAAACAGCCAAGTTTCCTTCCTCCGTAGACAGTTCCGTTACAGCTGTGGAACGGTTGAGTGAAACTGTAAGAAAACTGTTATGTATGACAGAAAAGAAAAGTCCTTCTTTCTTTTCAATTGTAGAAGTGAAAGATGTACTAGAAACTTAAAAATTGACTTTCTTTTTTCCTCTTTTTCTTTCGGAATATTAACATAAAATTTTTTTACTGCTCTTCTTTTAGGCACACGTCTGACACAAACCATTTGCTCCTCAAATAAAGGTCAACAACTCATTTATGTAAATAATATAGTCGCGAAGTAATTGTCAACAGACTGATTTCTAATAAAAATGAACTTAGACTTAGTCTTCAATTTTTTTTGCTTTTGCCCTTTCATTTTAATTATTTTACTTATTTAAACGATCTGTTTCCTCCAAAAATTGTATCTTCCAACAAGCAGTTGCAGTTACAGATATTCTAAAGCTACAGTTTCATGTTTTACGACTGAGAGTCCACTATAAATCTGCCACTTTAAAGCTTTGATGTATTAAAGAGCCCTTTTTTACAAAACTTTAAAAATCTTCATTTCTGGGCAAAATAATTTAAAATTCTGCTTTATTTTTTGTCTTCAGTTTGCTCTTTTAGTGCAAATGCCTAAATACCTTTGTATAACTACAACGGATACTTTGTTCAAACAGTTGATTAGGCTTGAGCAAAATTACAAAATTTTAAGTGTCACTAAGCTGAGCGAAATTTAGATTTTTTAAGACTTTAGCGAGATCAAATTTTATTAAAATACATCTTTTAAGCTAAACTTCTTATCTCCTCAATCAGTGATCAGAATGTAGTCCAACTATTCAAGAACTTGAAAAAAGAGCTTATATATGCAGTGAAAATTGCAAATTTTGACTTGAAATTGCTTTCAGTATCAAAATATTGTTCTTTAATTAATATACCCATTGTAGGCGAGGCAGTCACTGTTGTAGTTTGAAAGCAGCTTTGCTGTCTAAGACATGAAAATTTCAGGTTCAGTTTTAAAACTCTTTTGCTCTACCGTCATAACGCAGAAGCAAGAAATTAGAATTATGGTGCACCATGCGTACGGCACCATCTTGCTATATTGGAGAGGTGAATAAGTGAGCCACCTATCCGCACTAAAAAAGCAAAGATGACGCGGTCAGTTGTGGCTACGCTAAACTTCGTTGTTGGCCATTAAAAATTTCAACCGAAAATTCATGAAAACCAACCATTTCAAACAGCAGCATGTCAGCTGTCCCCTTGTGAAATATTTTGCGTGAAATGAAACTTTTACAAAAAAAAGCAGTTGGTTTAACTTTGGCAAAGTAACACTCTGAACAGTTAGCAACTGTGAAACCACTACCAAGCAAAATACCAGGTCCTCAATATGCGTCACTGATCTACTCATAGCCTCAAAAACATTATCTTCGCACCTACTTACTGTCAAGTATAAGTTGAGAAGTAACGCATTACCTCATTATGAACAAGATAAAAACTCGGCATTACTACATGACCTGGCACTTCATTAGTACCTCCTTTGCTTCTGACTCCAGTTAATCTGTTGCCAGCCAGCCATCCTCTAGGAGATGACAAAAAATTGGCCTTTCCTTGTGTATTAAACAACAGAAACTTCAAAACGCTTCGTTCTCAAGCATTTCAGACAGAACGGTAATAAACAAATCATACATAAGCAAAAAAGTATTTTATTCCCACGAGGAATTATAACAAAATAGTGAAGAAAAAATATAACAATCAGTGTGAGACCAGGAAACAAAGGGATGCGAGTTTTATAAAGAAGCCAGACGACTATCAAAACAGTTATACAAAGATCTTTTCCAAGCGTAAGCAAGCAGTGGTGTTGTATGCGTAACAACTTATTCGGCTTTTTTGTACACTCTCCTGCATCTTACACCGCCAGATTCGCATATCTAAAAAGTCAAAAAATTAGGGGAATAATGGATGTTTCAAACGGAAAATTTTGATTACGGCGATACAGTTCCACTTTCTTTGATTCCTTTGTGGCGGTTAGTTTTGGTAGCGTTTAAAAAACCAACTTTGATATTAAACCAATGTTGCAAACAACTACTTGTAATTTGAAATTACTGCCTAGTAAAATTAAACATTCCTACACAATGTAAGTAGGAAGAAAAACATACAATAATTAAATGTCCATTTTCATCGACATAGCGTTCAAAGCGTGATTCTTTATCCTCTTTTTTAATTGGTTTCTCAATCTGTATCAGTTTGTCACCTTCGATAGTGAAGACGGACTATAAAAAAAGCTCCGATAAAGTCCGTAAAATTCAGTGTTTTTTTTTAAAAAGAATCATATAAAGTCTAAATAGATTTCCTTTTCTGCTACTTGTAGAGTTGAAAAAAATTTTCTTTAGGGTGGAAAAAAATGAAGATCGATTTGTTATCGGCTAGACCGCTCAATGACTCAAACGGCAGTACATTTACGTATTTCATCTTTGCAAATAAGCTAAATAGCCAATTCAGCATTCACCAAAAAGTAATGCATATTTTACAAACGTCCTACTTTCAGTACACGTCCATCGCCAGTTGTTTCGTCAAACTCCTCCCCAATTGTAAATTCTGTAACATGAGTTTTGAAGGTGGATACAGAAACCATTTTCCATTTGTCACCGTCTCGTGAAAATGTTAAAGTCGGTTTTAAAGTATTTGCCATTTTGCGAGTCACCAACCCAACACCTAGAGATGTTCCGTGAATTAATTGCAAATATTGCAGCAAATGTGAAGCATAATATTTACTTTTTTCAACCTTAACATTAAAAACAGTAGGCGAATAGAGTTAAATCTGAATGATACAAAAACATCCTTTATCATACCAACTTGTTTCATGTAGGCGTCAAAATTTTCAGATTCAACAAACGTCCATTTTCCAACAATTTTTTCGACCATTTTAGTAGTACAGACTTCTAAAGTTGTTCTCTAAGCAGGCAACTAAACACCAGCAATACGTTAAAAATTCTTGCAAATAAACGTTTGACAACGCAAACATTTAAACGTGCAAATCAAAAAACAAAAACAAAGTACAATCCAAAGCATAAAGAAAATTTCAAATTTTCAATAATATCACCTTAATTTCATCTCAATTACCATAACATGTGTGCCTTTGACAAAAATTGATGTTATCGCTTCGAGAAACCGCTAGAAAACTCGACTAAACTCAGAACTACAATACAACGCATCTCCTCCTCTGATCATCAAACCGTTTTGTCGAACCGTGCAATCCATCAACCTTTTATTTACATTTCAAACTATAGGCAACAACAGTTTTGCCGTTTCATGACCGTTGTTGACAAATTTATTCCAGCCGATATCTTTAATATTCAGCTGCCATAAACCTTTACTCCTTAATAAGCTTTACTGATACTAACAAGAAAAATTTTTTTCTAAATTAGGGTATTGTATA